GTAGTTCATTCCGCTGTGGCGACCCCTGATGAATAAAGGACTAAGCTGATGGAAAATCAATGAAAATCAATATATTGGACCAATGCCATGTATTGTTAGCTATTCTTACAAATGTACCTGAGAAGGTTTTGTGGTCCAGGGTTGCCAGGTATTTGCGACAAAACTAGCCCAAAAATATTAAAACACAAAATATGCCACCACACGTTCATAAGACAGTGGCGTAGCGCAAAATGCGGAGGCCCCCCTGCAGGGATCACTGACGGGGCCCCCTGATGATAGGGGTGGGGGGGCGGAAGGGCGACAACAAATTAAGGAGCGGGGAAGGGAGGCGGGGATGAGCCTTCACAAACTGGGGAGCGATCACAAACCGAAAGCACCGAGGGCGTCAAAGAGAACCGGCGACGAGAAGCGTGGCGCGTCTTTTCCGGTGTGAGCGTCAAGGAGAGGTCAAATCAAGTCAACTTTGAGCTATGATATGACGCGGTTCGGCGGCAAGCAATCAGAATGAAGTAGTCCACCGCTTGAGAGGTGTTTAGAGAACACAGACCTGTGAACTTTGGTTCCGACCACAGTTGTTCCCAAGAGTTTGATTATTGCGGTTGATGGATTTTCAGTTATTGAAAATCGCGACGATGCGGGGCCCCCCAATCACGCGGGGCCCCCCCCGCGGTGTGTGCCCTGAGGGCCCGTCCGGTACGCCACTATCATAAAATACATATTTTACATAACTGTATGCATTATAGACAGTTTCTTGATTGAAGATAACTGTATATTAGTAACTATAAAGATTTTAAAATATCTTAAAGGGCAACATGGTGGTCAAAGTCCCTTTAAGGGAAGTCATTTCACTCGGCGGCCATCTTTGAAACACCTCTCGGGCAGCATGCTCTGGCATTCTGTTTGAATGGGGAAACATCTAATTCTCCAAAATTGCTTGCCAAGCTTACGATTACATTACATATTACGAATAACCAATCAGATTGAGCAACAGCTGTCTCTTTAGTTTTATTTCTAAATGCTCGTATCATGCAAAATCTGCAGACACTCATGTCTGGATTGAGTCCCTCCCCTGGAGAATTGTCAATCTATAGCGATCGCTGATTGGCTCCTGTACTAGAAGGCGGGGCTTCATTCGCCATATTGACAGTTGCACATTTCCCCATTCAAAAGTATACGAGTGACACGTCTTGTGTATTCTAGAGTCTTTGATGGTGGTTCAGTGGTTAGCACTGTCACCTCACACCAAGAAGGTCGCTGGTCCGAGTCCCGGCTGGACTGTATGGTGGAAATTATGCTGGAATAGTTGGTGGTACATTCCGCTGTGGCGACCTCTGAAATAGGGACTAAACCAAAGGAAAATGAATGAATGAAAAAATATTTTACGTTTTGTGAAATACATTTTTGATTAAAATCATTCACAATATATGTTTTAAATTGTAAATTGACAGGCCTGCCAATCTTTTACCACGGTAACAAAATGCATCTCGCCTCTAGAGCTAATTCGGTTTCATCATCTAAGCACAGTTTTTTTATCTTTGATAGAGTAAAACATTTAACTGCTATCATATATATAAATATAATGAATGCAGTATGACAACCCCTGCCAATTCTGCTGGAAAACTGTGGACTTGGCAACCCTGAGTCTCACATATCTTCTATTTCACATAAATGCTGTTATTTTGGACACTACATCCATCCATCCATCCACCTGTCCGTCCATCTCTGTCTATCTGTCTGTCTGTCTGTCCGTCCGTCCGTCCATCTATCTACACAACACTCATAATCAGTTGGATTGGCGCAGCATGAACATGATATTGATGATGACTGTTTGCCACCATCATTGTAGATTTGGTCACGGCATGTTCCTGGTGTGTCTGGAGAGCATCTATAAGAAGATAACAGGCTGCGAGCTGAAGTACGAGGCTCTGATCGGAAAGCCCAGCGTGGTGACGTACAACTACGCAGAGCTGCTCATTCGAGAACAGGCGGAAAAACTGGGCTGGACTCGACCCGTCCAGAGACTCTACGCCATTGGGTGAGACTCAAATTTAACTGATCCTGGAGCTCAACCTATAGTATATACTACAAAAGAGTGGAATAATACATTTTTAAAGGCATACTTAACCCAAAATGAAATCTTGTTAATATACTCAACCGTAAGCTGCCTAAGATGAGATTTTTCCCTCCTTTTAACATTAACCTCTTCCATTTAACTTTAACCTTTTATTTTTTTACTACTTTTTGGGGGGGTTACATTGTGGTCCTGACGCCGCCTCTTTGTGATTTATAAAATTATAATGTTACCGGCAGTTTAGGAGTAAAAAAAAACATGCAAAACACAATGAATACCCTTAACTGAGGATACACTGAAGTCTTATGAAGCAAAACAATTTCTTTAATGTGTCTCTTCTGCTCACCAAGACTGCATTAATCTATCAAAAACAGTATGCAAATGCATTTTAAAAATGTAATTCATCGTAAAAACATAATACTTTTCGCAACAAGCATAGTAGCAACATGCTAAATCATGCTGTTAACCAGGGATTCCCAAACTTTTTTATTCCGGGACCCACCTAGGCAAGTAATTCAATCTAAAGACCCACCATACAGTCAAAAATATATGGTGTGCGGCTTTTTGGATTTTGCAATTTGATATGCACAAAATGAGGCTTGAAGTGCTTTTTGTGGGATGCTGGCTGTAACTGATCACTTTTTTGTTGAAAAAGATCCTCTTCTTTTTTTCAGAAGAGAATATGATCAACCTTTGATCAAGCCCCTGGATTATGATCAAGCCCCGTCACATCGCAGTAAACTCCACTGCTAGTGTAGTCATAAGAAACTAAATAGCTTTTTGATCGACTACTACAAGCTGGGAAAACGTCAGATAAATATGCCAATGCAGTTAACATTATAGCTGAATAGATCTAATATTTGCTTGAGGAAGGAATGATGGGGGTAGTTACATTACTATTACTATTATCCATAACATCTATGCACTTCCATAACATTAGCTGACGTTAAAACTAACAGATAGCACTATAGCCGTTTATTGATTAGCAATCTGTCAACATTGTAATGTAAAAAATATGGGACAACAAATAGCTTCAAATGATAGAATACATAGCAAACATTAGAAAATATTAACAATGAAGTAAAAGGTTTAGCTTATTAAAATCAATAGCCTATACAGAAATTAAATAAAGCTATAAAATCTACTCCACTTTTAATTGTATTTGCATATTGAATAAAGTTACTAGAGTTATTTAGTGAAGAGCAGCAAATGAATCTCTCATTGTGTTTTGTTTGATAACAGAGGTGTTAATGTAAGAATGAACAGATCTATAATGAAGCATTCGACTAATTTAGTAACTGTTTGTACTTATTTAAGAGAAAATTAGTAGTGTTTAAAATAAAACACGCAGGACGGAGCCAAAAAAACTAAATAAATAAAAAATAAATAAAAAAAAGAAGCACTTTTCTGACGGTGCGTTACTGAGAGCTCCACTCAGCGCGAGCTCTTTCAGCTAAATGCAGATTGCGAGGGCTCAAACGGAGCAGTGCTCTTAATGTCGAGCGAAAAAAAAGAAAAAGACAGCTGTGAAACATAACCAGCTTTGACTTTTTGCAGGAAACACACTTTAGATATTTTTAGGGTAAGAGGTTTTTGAGTTATTCCCGTCAATCGTACTGGTTTTGATTCACCACCATGTAAAATATAGCTGCAGCTATGTGACGTTGCGTGACCCACCTTTGTTCACTGTGCGACCATACTAGTAAACAATACTAACAACATGCAAATTCAGACATCCCAAATCTCCCAGAAGCTCTGGGAGTCTTCCCCATATTCATAGACTCCCTGATGCCTGCAAATGAGATTTACTGTCCTGGAAATGGAGGCATTTCCCCCGCCCAAATCATGCTAAAAACATGCTGTTTCATGCCTGCAGCATGGTCATATATTTTAGAAACATGCTAACAAGGTAATTTATTTAGGTAGAAACATGCTAATTTAAGCTAGAAACATGCTGTCAGCACAATTATTTCTACTAGCAACATGCTAACATGTTAACCTATGCTAGCAACATGTTATCTAACACGTTAATTCTTGATAGCTACATGCTAAAAACAAGCTAAAAATGGTAACGCTGCTGATTCATGCCGACAATAATCTGGTAACATGCTAACTCACACAGCTTTTTAAAACCAACAAACTTTGCCAAACTATACTCCTCTATCTAGCAATTTAAGGTCCTTTGAAATTAAAATAAGGATATCTATAAGCTAGTGTGCGCTAAAACAGTGACAAACTCCACATTTTGAAAATATAAACCTGATATTAACATCCAAAGCTTGCAGTTTGTCACTTCCATTTGTTACAATTTTTTAGACGTCACCTCATACTTTTAGTTTGTCATCAAATCTTGACCAATCAAATGCTCTCTAGTATCTGACATGCCCCGCCCCCTTCTTCTCATTTGCTTTTCATTTGATGCGCTTGAGCTCAACCACTCTCACTGGCAGAGCGGTGATAAAATCAAATGCTATTGGCTGTTTAAAAAGGGGAGGGGCTACACTATTCCCCGCCCCCTTTTTATTTTTCAGATGAGATTACGTCAAACATCGAATAAAATAAAAACGCATCTCTCTCTCACAGTGACAACCCCATGGCTGATATTTATGGTGCAAACCTGTACAACCGATACCTCAAAGCGATGAACCGCAGTCGTACGCCGCAGGTCCAGGCGCAGGGTGGTGTATCCGGTCAGATGGCAGCAGATCTGCACTGTGACGATGCCAAATGTTCAGGACAGGTGATGGTGGGAGGCTCGTTTGAACACTGTCTGCCCGAAGCCTGCAGCTCCATCCTGGTCTGCACTGGCGTCTACAACCGCGACATGCCGACTGACCCTCAGGAGACGCTCACGGAGCACAGGATCTTCCACGGACACCGAGACTTCCGCTTCGACCCAAGCCTGACCCAGCCGTCCTTCATCGTTAATGACGTTCGGGATGGAGTGGAGCTGGTCTTCCAGCTGGAGGGTTGGCCCCTGGAGTAAACTAACTGCTGTATGTGAACTCGCCCTCTATAGACTGATTTCACACAGCCGCCATTTTAAAAGCGAAATCGAGGCTGCGATGGGGAGGAACCCGGAAGTATCGCCTGGAGTCACACAGGAACATTGTGTAGCTGGCTGTATATCACATCAGCGAAGAGAAAGTGACACAAATTTATCATTTCACCGCACTTCAAGTGACCCGAAGGTCCGTTCTGAATGAATAGTGTGAAAACAAAAAGGGATATCAGAGCTCATTTTCAGCTGAGTTAAGGGAAAAGGCACTAGTTAGCTAACGTTTTCTTCCACAAACACAGGTTTTAGATGCCATTGATCAAACTCAAGTTAATGTATGGACATTTTCACTATATTAGACTCGTCATGATTTACGGTAAGATGATGAAACAGGCTCGCTTTCGTTTTTTAAAATGGCGGCCGCATGAAATATGAGTATAGAGAACTGGAATGTGTGGTAACAGCGCAATGCATTCTGGGTGTTTAGCGTAAGGGAGCCAGATTTCCATTGATCTCTATTGAGTTTTTTTGTATCATATATACACTCATTGGCAATAAACAAGTGCTCGTTCTACAGGTAATGAGGAAAATCATATATAGAGAGGTTTTTCTTGCGGCAGCTCGTTTATGCGCTGTTAGTTATGGATAAACGTGTGTTTAATTATTTGAGCCGCTCCAAATCCGCATATTTCCAGCCTCTCAGATACTCAGAGCAGTTGTAAAGGTCCAGTTAAAGTCAGAATTATTAACATTATTAGCCCGCCTGTTTATTTTTTTCCCCCTAATTTCTGTTTAACTGAGAGCAGATTTTGTTCAACACATTTCTAAGCATAATAGTTTTAATAACTCATCTCTAATAACTGATTTATTTTCTCTTTGTCATGATGACAGTAAATAATATTTGACTAGATATTCTTCAAGACACTTCTATACAGCTTAAAGTGACATTTAAAGGCTTAACTAGGTTAATTAGGTTAACTAGGCAGGTTAACTAGGTTAACTTAACTAAGTTATTGTGTAATGATGGTTTGTTCTGTAGACTATTTAAAAAATATAGCTTAAAGAGGCTAATAATTCTGACCTTAAAATAGTGTTTAAAAAATTAAAAACTGCTTTTATTCTAGCCGAAATAAAACAAATAAGACTTTCTCCAGAAGAAAAAATATTATCAGACATACTGTGAACATTTCCTTGCTCTGTTAAACATCATTTGGGAAATATTTAAAAAAGAATAAAAATCATAGGGGGCGAATAATTCTGAATTTAACTGTATATGCATGTTAGTCCATTTTATTCTGAGCGTGTCGTGTTTTTCAAAATATATTACTACAGTATAAAATGGTTGAGCGCTCCTGCGAGGTAAAGTCTAGATCGCATATGCGGCCGGCCGGAAGTGCGATACGCACATCAATATAGCAGCATTTTTATGACACTGTATAATAATAATTTTACAGTACTGTGACGGTTGGGGTTAGGGTAGGGGTAGACGTTAAAAAATACAATTTATTGGGTAATTTAATAGATAACATAAATAATAATCTGTACAATTACTCTGACAGTTGGGTTAAGGGTTGGGGTAGGAGTAGATGTTAATAAAATACAATTAATAGGAAATGAATAAATGGTATACAGTTAAAGTCAGTTATTCGCCCCCTTTGAATTTTTTTTCTTTTTTAAATATTTCCCAAATGATGTTTAACAGAGCAAGGAAATGTTCACAGTATGTCTGATAATATTTTTTCTTCTGGAGAAAGTCTTATTTGTTTTATTTCAGCTAAAATTAAAGCAGTTTAAAAAATTTTAAACACCATTTTAAGGTCAATATTTTTAGCCCCTTTAAGCTATATATTTTTTCGATAGTCTACAGAAAAAAAAAATCGTTTTACAATAGCTTGACTAATTACCCTAACCTGCCTAGTTAACCTTATTAACCTAGTTAAGCCTTTAAATGTCACTTTAAGCTGTATAGAAGTGTCTTGAAGAATATCTAGTCAAATATTATTTACTGTCATCATGACAAAGATAAAATAAATCAGTTATTAGTGATGAGTTATTAAAACTATTATGATTAGAAATGTGTTGAAAACATCTGCTCTCCGTTAAACAGAAATTGGGGAAAAAAATACACAGGCGGGCTAATAATTCAGGGGGCTAATAAATCTGACTTCAACTGTAAATAATTTTCATTAACGTCCGGCTGCAACCATATCTGATCTAGCAACAACCCTCCTGTGATTGTCCACAAACGTGGCAGCCGCAACTCGCCGTGACAGATTCTCGAGCTCTATAGCCTCATTCACTGTCACTGTTTTAAGGGATTTACACACGACTCCCATTCATGCAAATCATTTTCATTTGAATTAAATGCAGCTATTTACATAAAAATGACGTAGAAGTTTAGACGCTTCCTCTAGTGCATTTATAGGCAAAGTCAGTGCGTCAGGCAGAAGGGATACAGCTGTGGATACTCACATCAATATAATTTTTGAGTCACTGTACTACAATTCATATTTTTAAATTACTCAGGTAGACGTTAATAAAATACAATTAATGTATAATTTAATAAATAATAACAATAACGCTAGGTATAATCGCAGTTTTTACATGACTCTGATGGTTGGGTTTAGGCAAAGTGCATAGAATCACCAAGAGGCGACACTCTAGTGCAATTTGGGAAACAGCCACTAGAGGGAGCGGCGGCCATTTTGGCATAAAAACTCCAATAGAACGACAGCATATCGTAAGTCTGTAAAATAAACTATTAAAAGTGCTGATGATTGTGATAGTAAGAGTTGTATTGTCGTCCCTTATGTTGTATCTCAGCTTTAATGCGCTTTATAAATTTATAAATAAAAAAACAAAGCAGCTGCTTGCCATCGCGACAGCAACAAGATCCAATGGACGGCCGATCGCTTTCACTCCAAAATGGCGGAATCCGGGGCTGTTGCCGGGCGCTGCTGTTGCAGTGGAACGTTCTATTGAGTGTTGCTCTTGGTCATTCTAAGCTCTTTGGTTTAGGGTTGAGGTAATTAATTCTCGTTAATTTCCGGCCGCAGCTGTATCCCTTCTAACAACATAATTTTTTTTCGAAGGAAAATGAAAATCTTTCACGAACACAAGGTTAAACGCTTCCAGCAAGCAAAGACAATTATTCACAAAGCCATAATGAGAAACAACACAACGCCAATTACCAGTTTATGTGCGTTTTGTCTGAGAAATCCGCCATTAGTTCACATACGCCTCAGTTGATGTTTGTTTGCTCAGCACGCTTTGAAGAGCTGATCACACTGGACGAATACTTACATTAGATTGAGATATTTATGTAGCAATGAAAATGTCTTTATCATGTATTTTAAATGTAAAATTTAACGTTTAGAAATGTTTGTTGCATTTTGATTTGTTGTTCTGTCGGATTTTGTCCTGTATCTGTGTTAATGTTTAGTGTTCGCTTGTTTTAAAGATTTTACAACACAAAAGCCCTTCATTTCATATCTACTTTTTTAAACGTCTTCGGTTAATTTTACGTAATAACAAAGAATGCATTATTGACTGTTTTTTTTAACGTTTTAAAAATTTTACTGTACTGCACACAACCTGCTGCAGGATAAATGTGTCATAAATGTTATCCACAAAAATATTCGTGTAGTGTTCATTCAATAAATGCTGTGAGATTTGTTTTTGTATTTATTTTTTAATTGTCGTTCTTATACAGTTTTGACCATATTTATTTAAATAAAATTGTGCTTGGCATATATGAATGGTTGAATAATGCTAGTGTTATACACTAATTTTACACACATTCGCATACAAGAAAATATACATTTTAAGTCATATTTATTATATCTAATTTATTTTCTACATAACATACATGAAGCTATGGAAAAAATGAACTGACAAGTTGAAAATATAAAACTATAGCCTAAACTATTGACATCTTCCAGATTTAAGGTATAAACGTCATTTAGAGCTGTTTATGTAGCATAAAATAAGAAAGGTGCTGTGTTTATTAGGAACGCTCTGATTAGGATTTTTGCAGCCGATACTGAGTACTCCTTGTCATGGGAATCAGCCAATACAGAGTGCCGATTATGATGCTTTGTGCTTCATTTAACTTCGCCAAAGCATAAAGCACATTTTCCCTTAAAGTATGAGATCTTGCCTTACCTAAGCATACAGTTGAAGTCAGAATTATTAGCCCGCCTGTTTATTTTTTTCCCAAATCTTTATTCAACGGAGAGCAGATTTCTTCAACACTTTTCTAAACATAATAGTTTTAATAACTCATCTCTAATAACTGATTTATTTTCTCTTTGCCATGCTGACAGCACATAATATTTTACCAGATATTCTTCAAGACACTTCTATACAGCTTAAAGTGACATTTAAAGGTTTAACTAGGTTAATTAAGTGAACTAGGCAGGTTAGGGGGATTAGGTAAGTTATTGTATAACGATGGTTTGTTCTGCAGACTATCGAAGAAAAATTAGCTTAAAGGGGCTAATTATTTTGTCCTTAAAATGGTGTTTAAAAAAACAAAAACTGCTTTTATTCTAGCCAAAATAAAACAAATAAGACTTTCTCCAGAAGAAAAAATATTATCAGACATACTGTGAACATTTCCTCGCTCTATTAAACTGGTGTTTCAAATCACACCCAAGTGAGATGAGCTTAATGCTTTTTTATTTTTAATCATTCCATCTTTAAATGTTAGAATGTTCTAGATGAATAGGGCATAGGGGGGATAAATGGCATTAGAACACATCCAGGAACTTTGTTTCTAACTACAGCTCCAGAGGTGTAGTTGTAAGCATACAAGTTTGCGACGCAGTTTGCGAATGTTCATTTGAACGAGGGATTTGGGAAACTGCGAATCAACAAACTATGTTTGTAACGACGGAACTTGCAACCTTAGTTGGCGAATGATGGTTTTGGGAAACACACCCTTGGTTGTAGCGCTGATTAATATCCTGGATGTGCACGTGCATCTTCCTCTGCTTATAAAGTCGTAAACAAACACTTGTGATTGGCTCGTGAGAGATTGGAGAGTACAGATCGAGTCGTGAACGGTGATTATCAGCCGATACCGATCTCCGGCCGATTGATCGGAGCATCCCTAGTGTTTACATTTATATTTATATTAATCTTTAGACTAACACTGATATTTTAACTTCAGTTAAATTAAGAAAACAATATTTGGTGGAATAGCTCTAATTTTCAGTCACAATGAATGAAAATATTTATTATTCTGACCAATCTGTCATCATTTTCTGGCCTGAATTGCAGTTTAAAAGGACTATTCTCAGATCTGCACTGGATATAACAACATTAAAATTTTACCTGATAAATCCAGAAAATCTAAACAGAGAATTGCAAACTCGTCTCCTGATTGTTTTCCATAGCATTATGTTCAAACACATTATTATTAAATAACAAAACAACCTAACTAAATCAGAAAAACACAGCAGTCACACGACCTCTACTCTATCGGTTAATCTGATTGGTTGTTAGCAGTCACATGACCTCTTCTCCATCTGTTTTCCTACTGGATGAGTGTCGCAGTGCAGGTAGACAAGTGGGTGAATCTGATTGGTTGTTAGCAGTCACATGACCTCTTTATATGTTCTCCTATTGGATGAAAATCGGAGTACAGATTGACAGTGGATGAATCTGATTAGCTGTTAGCAGTCACATGACCACTTCATCTGTTTTCTTATTGGATGAGTGTCAGAGTGCAGGTAGACAAGTGGGTGAATCTGATTGGTTGTTAGCAGTCACATGACCTCTTCATATGTTCTCCTATTGGAGAGAGTCGGCGTACAGGTTGACAGTGGGTGAATCTGGTTGGTTGTTAGCAGTCACATGACATCTTCATAGGTTTTCCTATTGGATGAGAGTCAGAGTGCAGATATACAGTAAGTGAATCAGATTGTTAGCAGTCACATGACCTCTTCATATGTTCTCCAATTGGATGAGAGTTGGAGTGTTGGTTGACTCTGGGTGAATCTGATTGGTCGTTAGCAGTCATATGACCTCCTCTCCATCTGTTCTCTTCTAATTGGATGAAAGTCGAAGTGCAGATATACAGTAGGTGAATCTGATTGGTCGTTAGCAGTCACATGACCTCTTCATATGTTTGCTATTGGATAAGAGTCAGAGTGCAGGATGACAGTAGGTGAATCTGATTGGCTGTTAGCAGGCTCATGACCTTGTCTCCATCTGTTTTCCTATTGGAAGAGACGCAGAGCCCAGTTTTACAGTCAGTGAATCTGATTGGCTGTTAACAGTCAATGACCTCTTCATATGTTCTCCTTTTGAATTAGAGAAGGATTGCAGGTTGACAGTGGATGAATCTGATTGGTTGTTAGTCACATGACCCTGTCTCCATATGTTCTATTGAATGAGAGTCAGAGCATAGGTATACAGTAGGTGAATCTGATTAGTTGTTAGCAGTCACATGACCTCTTTATACATGTTCTCCTATTGCATGAGAGTCAGTGCAGGTAGACAGTAGGTGAATCTGATTGGTTGTTAGCAGTCACATGACCTTTTCTCCAACTGTTCTCCTTCGATTGGGTGTGAGTCAGAGTGCAGGTAGACGGTGGGTGAATCTGATTGGTTGTCCTGATAATGTATTCCTCCGTGTCGCACTAAGAGTTCTCTGGCCATCAGTTGGAAAGCCTCCTCGATGTTGTGATGGTGTTTGGCGGATGTTTCTAAAGCGGCCAGAGCACCACTGCGCTCCGCTAGCGTACAGGCGTCCTCGAACAGCACCTGCCGCTGCGCCTCCAGATCACACTTATTACCTGCAGGATGGAGAACAATACACAACTCATGCTAAATAACTACGACAAATCAAGCCATGCGTGACTGTATGCAATGTAACAATGCCAATCTTCATTTTTAAATTGGTCTTTGAGTTTAGGAAATGCTGATAATTAATTAATTTCTTAAAATACATAGTTAAACATAAATACAAATATCCTAAAATGAAGCGACGTACGATGAAAAAATATTTGTTTACCCGTATTTCATGTGACCATTGGCAATTATCAGAAAAATTAACTGTTAAAAATTGAGTTATTAAAAAATTAATTAATGAAATAAATTCTTCAATTAATTTTTTGTTCTTAAATTATTGAAATACAAAATAAGTATTTTCATATTATATCTATTTTACAATAACTTATTTACATTTAATTACAAATAAACTGTTCCTATAATTATTTAATTGTTTAAAATATATTATTTAATTAAAACATTTATATTTACTAATTTAACTACTTCTGCATAATATATTATTATACATTAATATTATCATTACAAAACAATGAAAAAATAATGTTATTATTAAACAATAATTAATAAAGAGATTTATTCAATTAGGACATATATACAATTAATAGTAATTGTGTGCTAAATAATAAACAATTAAACATAATATAAAATACAAATTTTATTTATCAACAGAAATATATATATATATATATATATATAATTTAATAATATATAATAAATAATCATATATAATAATAATAATAATATATAATAATATGTAATAATAATAATAATAAATATCATAATTATTATTATTATTATGTATAAAATGTAAACAAAGAAATAAATACTGATGCATAAATGTTAAAAGTGTAGTAAGTAATGATCATATGCGAGTGTGTGTGTCTGACCGATGAGTACGAGGACGAGGCTGGCAGCTCCGTACTGCTCCAGCGCCTGAATCCAGTGTGGCAGAGAGTCGAAGGTGTCGCGGCGGCTCAGATCATACGCAATCATAGCGCCATGAGCACTGCGATAATAGCTCTGAGTGATGGTGCGGAAACGCTCCTGTCCCGCCGTGTCCCACACCTGCATCTGAACATTTTATGTTGGTTTATTATTTAATAACAATTACACATTTTAAATATATTTTATAATACATCACATTTACACAATTTTGAAATTTACATTGTTTAAAAATAATACATATATTATACGTGTGCATGTCTGGTCTGTATAGAGAATGATATATTTATATTACATATCATTTATATACACACAGTGGTCAGCATGAATGAGTAAAATGAATATTTTATCAATTTCTCAGTGAATATAGGTAAGATACGTCTTAGGAAATAGAAAGATAATACATTTAAATTCAAGCAAAATAATGCAAGAAAAATTACAACCTACTAAATTTCAAGTAAACATTATATATTTTTTGTTTCTCTTTTTTTATTTAATTTTTTTCCTTTAACATAAGTTTAGGCTGCTAATTTTGGTTCATTATCTAAAGTTATTTTGTTAGATTAGCTACTTATTCAGTTAGATTAGTACTAAATACGTTAATAATAATGTATATGAACAAATATAATAAATATGCATATAATGGAGCATAAATAAATGCTGAGCACTCCATAATTAAAAGAAAGCTTGATATTCAACATTTTATTAAGTTTTTAAAACTGATCCCATTCCTAAATCAACACACAGAACAAAATGTAAAAAGTATTCATTTATAATCTATTTTTCAAACAATGTCATATTAATTTGAACTATTAAAATATTTACTACATTTCTCCCATAACATATTAATCTATTACTTCATGAATTATGTTTTATTTTATTAATGTAAGTGTTAATAATTACATATTTTTTCAATCTTTAATTATTCAAATAAAATATATTCAAATATTTCTCCACTACAAAAATAAAAGTAATAAGCATCATTTACACTCAAATAAATTGCATTTGCTGTTCGTTCAACGATAAATGAGTTAAAATAACACAATTATGCCGGGTTTTTTGGGGACAACTTAATCGTCTCCTGTTTAATCCACTTAAATTTGAAAAATCTAAGTTAACTTAATCGTCTCCTGTTTATTCCACCTAAATATGTAAAAACTTCAAACTTAATCATCTCATGTTCAATCCACTTAAATTTAAAAAAACTAAACTACTAAGTTAACTTAATCATCTCATGTTTGATCCACTTAAATTTGTAAAAACTACTAAGTTAACTTAATCGTCTCCTGTTCAATCCACTTAAATTTGTAAAAACTACTAAGTTAACTTAATCGTCTCCTGTTCAATCCACTTAAATTTGTAAAAACTACTAAGTTAACTTAATCGTCTCATGTTCAATCCACTTAAATTTGTAAAAACTACTAAGTTAACTTAATCGTATTATGTTTGATCCATTTAAATTTGTAAAAACTACTAAGTTAACTTAATCGTCTCCTGTTCAATCCACTTAAATTTGTAAAAACTACTAAGTTAACTTAATCGTCTCCTGTTCAATCCACTTAAACTTGTAAAAACTACTAAGTTAACTTAATCGTCTCATGTTTGATCCACTTAAATCTGTAAAAACTACTAAGTTAACTTAATCGTCTCATGTTCAATCCACTTAAATCTGTAAAAACTACTAAGTTAACTTAATCGTCTCATGTTCAATCCACTTAAATCTGTAAAAACTACTAAGTTAACTTAATCGTCTCATGTTTAATCCACTTAAATCTGTAAAAACTACTAAGTTAACTTAATCGTCTCATGTTTAATCTACTTAAATCTGTAAAAACTACTAAGTTAACTTAATCGTCTCATGTTTGATCCACTTAAATCTGTAAAAACTACTAAGTTAACTTAATCGTCTCGTTCAATCCACTTAAATTTGTAAAAACTACTAAGTTAACTTAATCGTCTCATGTTTAATCCACTTAAATCTGTAAAAACTAATAAGTTAACTTAATCGTCTCATGTTAAATCCACTTAAATTTGTAAAAACTACTAAGTTAACTTAATCGTCTCCTGTTCAATCCACTTAAATCTGTAAAAACTACTAAGTTAACTTAATCGTCTCATGTTCAATCCATTTAAATCTGTAAAAACTACTAAGTTAACTTAATCGTCTCATGTTCAATCCATTTAAATCTGTAAAAACGTTAACTTAATCGTCTCATGTTCATTCCACCTAAATTTGTAAAATATACTAAGTTAACTTAATCATCTCATGTTCAATTCACTTAAACTTGTAAAATCTACTAAGTTAACTTAATCATCTCATGTTCAATTCACTTAAACTTGTAAAAACTACTAAGTTAACTTAATCGTCTCATGTTTGATCCACTTAAATCTGTAAAAACTACTAAGTTAACTTAATCGTCTCGTTCAATCCACTTAAATTTGTAAAAACTACTAAGTTAACTTAATCGTCTCATGTTTAATCCACTTAAATCTGTAAAAACTAATAAGTTAACTTAATCGTCTCATGTTTAATCCACTTAAATTTGTAAAAACTACTAAGTTAACTTAATCGTCTCATGTTCAATCTACTTAAATCTGTAAAAACTACTAAGTTAACTTAATCGTCTCATGTTCAATCCATTTAAATCTGTAAAAACTACTAAGTTAACTTAATCGTCTCATGTTCAATCCACTTAAATCTGTAAAAACGTTAACTTAATCGTCTCATGTTCATTCCACCTAAATTTGTAAAATATACTAAGTTAACTTAATCATCTCATGTTCAATTCACTTAAACTTGTAAAATCTACTAAGTTAACTTAATCATCTCATGTTCAATTCACTTACACTTGTAAAAACTACTAAGTTAACTTAATTCCCTCATGTTATCCCAACTCAAATTGCTTGGAATGCAGCATTTTTAATGTAATAATCATTGTTTGAAACCGATTGTTGACAAATGAAATGTATAAATGTGATGATTTATATTTTACACATGCAAAAAAGATAAACTTATCCACCTTGACTCTCCTGCCGTCAACATCCATGCTGCGCACGGTAAAATCCACTCCAATAGTGTTGTGCTGCAGTTCAGTGACCTCTGCTGACCTGAAGCTCTGGATAACACAGGTCTTCCCCACATTACTGTCCCCAATCAGGATGATCTTGAACAGAAAATCACAGCGCTCCTCGTCCTCTCGCCCTGCGGACTGCATTTCTGCAATAAATACTCACCACACTCACACAAATTACATCTAAATGACGGCTTATATCGTCATTCTGAGCGCTCCTGTATGCTAGCGCTAATAAACCTCCATACTGACTGAACTAAAGTCGGTTTGACCTCAAGTCCCACTCGTTTTGTCCTCTGTGTTTGAGTGAAATGCAAACAGACACACCTGTATACCTGGAAAAGAGACGTCCTGCACCACTGCATCTCCGTCTGCACAAACACAAACACACACAAAGCTAATGCTAGGAGAAAACCCCAGTCTTTCCCTGTCTGCTGTAGATAAACAGTTTTTAAAGTACGAGTGAAATCGAGCACAAACAGTGCTGTCTTGAAAGGTGACCTTTGCTCGGTAGAACAGCATATACTGAAGTGACTCTATAACACACACGCTGATTTCACAGCTTAAAGTTTCACTAAACAAAAATGAATTAGCGAATATTTTAAGTTACGAATTGGTCCGTTATTTGTATGCGCGGTCATAAAAACAGTAGGCATATCACACATTTTGGGAACAGTAGTATTGGGGAAAGTTAACTTTTAGTATTAGCCTAATATTCCAAGCTTGAAACTACTTGAAAATGCCTTACGTTACTTTGTATTATGTTTACACATTGTACAAACATCTGTTCTTGTCAAAAAAATCTGATTGGAAATTCAGTTTATCCTTTAGGGTCCTATAGGATTTTAATGGATTCCTAAAATTCTAATGGACATTAAAAATTTTTAAATTGGATTTTTACTTTGTCTTATAGGATTTTAAAATCCTTTTGGGCATTATGACTTTATTTATTGGAATTTTCACTTCGTCTTTACGTGTTTCTTATGGAATTTCATTTTGTTCTATAGGATATTTTTGATTCTGTCAATTAATTATTTTTTAGATCACTACAGTGTATGTTTTTTTCTTTTTCTCAGTATTATCATTATAATATGAACATATAATGATTATAATATAATAAACATTTCAATAAACATTAGTCATCACATTATGAATACACATATTAAATTATAATACTAATGAAACAATACATTTTGTTAATTTGTCTTATTTTATCATTCTTATTAGTTTTGCTAATAAAAAATAAATAAAATAACAGTATCTTTTTTGACAGTTAAAATAGAGCAGGCTACAGTTAATTTACAGTATTTTGCAGCATCATAATATGTGTGTGTGTGTGTGTGTGTGTGTGTGTGTGTGTGTGTGTGTGTAAAATACAATAAATGTGATATTTCAGCCTGATCTCACGAGGGAACGTAAGTATTTTACGTTTTTGTCAGTTTAGTGGTGAATTCGTACGAGTTTGTCATATGAAAATGTACGATTTTGAAAAGGAGGCGTGGCACCTAACCCCACCCATCATTTGGAGATGAGCAAATTGTACAAATTAGATTGTACAAATTCATACGAATTAGGTACTAAATAAAATAGTTACGTATTGCCGTGAGATTGCGTGGGTAATGAATTGTGTGTCTGCCATCTAGCAGTATAATACAGGGTTTCTGCAGGTTTCACAGAGTTAAATTTAAGACATTTTTAAGACCAGAATGAAATTTTAGACCCAGAAAGGGCTATAAGGAATTTTTTGAATGGTCCGGATGGAAAAGATTTTTATTTGCCCTATCAATTTTTTTTTATATAATTTTATACATTTAATAATAAAATAGTAATTTAATAACAATAAATGGAAATATTTTAGACTTTGTTTCTTAGCAAAATATTTTAAATATTGTGTGAAATCAAGCAAGCTCTACTCGTATCCAAACACTTTTTTCCCAATATAAACTAAAATAAATAAACAAAAGTTTTAAAAACTATAATAAACTAAATGTATGTACAACACATGCAGGTCAGCATCTTCAGCAGTAAATACACGGAGCACTTTTTTTTTTTAAAGATTTATTTTTGGCCTTTTTGCCTTTATTAGATTAGACAGTTTTGAGACAGGAAGCAAAGTGGGAGAGAGAGAGAGAGAGAGAGGGGGGGGGTCGGGAAATGTCCTCAAGCCGGGATTCGAACTCGGGATGCCTTGACGTGCTACTGAACCATATCTCGGCGTGCTAACCACTGGGCTGTTGTGCGGACTATACATGGAGCACTTTTGAACAAATTTTTACAATTATTTTAAGGAAGATAATTTACGAAAAATGGACTTACAAATTTAATTAGATAAAATAATGAATAAACTTAAATAAAAGGTTTAAGGTTTTATTAAGAAGATTGTTGGTCGTTTTTGGTGGCAATACATGAACAAAGAAAAATTAAGACCTGTTTAAAATAAATTAAGCCTTCAACACAATATTTCAGTAAATTTAAGACTTTTTAAGGCTAAAAGTTTGAATTTTGAAATTTAGGACATTTTAAGCCTTTTTAGACCCTGCAGAAACCCTGATAATACCCCAGTTTACAGGAAGAAAAAATCATCAAATAAATTATATTTTAGTCGTCTTCATCACGTGGTATATTCTGACCTAAGACGTTGCTGGATTTTGCATTGCTAAGGATTCCTGCTTCAACTGCTGCTGGCGTCTCACATCTGCTCAACCAGGTAAGTTAAGCCTTTCAAATTTACGAGTTAATATTCGAGCACTGATTACCTCAACACAGGAATAGAAGATTTTATGCCAGTCAATAAATGAGAAGGCAACAGGCTTTACTTAAAAAAATATATTTTGGAAATAAAGAAATAATTAATTGTTACTTGAAAAACTAAATAAACAATGTGGATTAAGCATTTTCACATATTTTACGTTGTGATTTAATTATCTGTGCGCTCGGCCATGTAAACGTACAGGGATTAATGTACAACTGAACAGTATTGAGGAAAGCTATATATATATATATATATATATATATAAACACACACACAAACTTTATATCTTGAGTTACTTCTTTGAAAAGTAACTAAATACGGTACTTTGTTACTTTTAAAGTAATGTGTTACATAATTAAGAATCATGTTAGCATCATAGGCTACACACAACAAACACATCTGCACCATCATTACTGACTTCTCTCAACACAAGTATAAAAGAATATATGCTAGCGAATCAACTAGCTTTACTTTTTAATTTTCAAGAAAATATCGTCAAAAAGGTAATGCAATACTTGTTACTTGAAAAAGTAATCTAATAACATAACCTGCATTACTTGTAACTATTTTCTTAGCATTTTTGTCCAAGTAAAACAAAAATACGTACTAAAATTAGGTTAAAGTTTTGTTTTGTCCTTTATAATACTTTTTTTTTTGTTTTAAATCTATTTAAAGTTTTTAATAATTTTTTTTACTTTTTTATATTATAGTAGTTAAAACCTGGCATAAAAAATATATACAAAATTATATAATGCTTACTACATTATGATTTAAATCAACTTTTAGTTTTGCTTAACCTGATTATTAACATAAAAATACATAATAAATAAATAAATAAACAAACAAATAAATAAAATGATATTATTATTACTTAGAGGCACTTACAGTATCTCCAGTCCAAAGAAGTGAGATGAGAAAATGAAGGATGAAATCTACAGTACGGTGTATAGACAGCGAATGCACGAACACACACACACTCACGTCATCAGCTGGACTGGACAATGAGCACATCTGTTCAGCTCAGAGATCTCTGTGTGCGCTTCTGTCAAACACTCCTCCTGTTCAACTCAGAAAATCAGTCTTTTGTTAAGCTTCAGCAGCACACACACCGACTGCTCAAAATCCACACATAAAGACAAGCCCGTGAACATGTCTTCAACTCTAGTGAACAAGCTTAAAGAGATTTAACTGTGAAGAGTCAGTTTCTAGCTGTTAGGTAGTGCCATTTGGAAGTACTCATAAAAATATACATGCTTTTAAATAACATTGAGCACACATTCAATCACATTTGTATATGCCAAACTCAGAATATGGTCACATATTGAAACAGGATGAAGTAAATTATTTGTATTTAAGAATATCCTACTTAAATACATAATTCAGAGTAAATACAGCACAAATGCAAAAGTTGAAGTGTTTTATAATATGGAGAGTTCAGATGCAAAAACCTCTTAATGCCGTCTGAAATTTTCTCCTAAAATAAGCTTTTCTGAGCCTCCTGTTTATGTTCAAGTATTTCAATTTAAAGGCAACGAAAAATGAAGGTATTTGTCACTATACAAGTAAAATTTCTGAGCCTACACACAAGAGTCAGAGATAAATGCTCATTTTAGAAGAAAATATCAAACGGCATTTAGAGGTTTTTGCATCTAATCTCTTCATATATAATAAAACACATCAATTTCAGTATTTGTGCTGTTTTTATTCTGAAAAGTAGTCGTTAATGAAATGGTGTCTAAAACAATGATTGTAAATACAGGAGTTCCGCAAGGAAGCATTTTATCACCCTTACTATTTTCTCTTTACACAAATGAACTTAAGATCCAGGGCCCGGTTTTTCAAAAGTAATCCACTAGGATTTTGGATAAGGGATTGGATCAAATCTTGAAAATGGGTTTTTCAAAAGAAAAAAACGGATTACATAATCGGATTAGATCACGTAATCCAATCTTAGTTTTGATCCGGATCAAACCTTTAGTTTGGGTTTTTCAGACCTTTTTTGTAGGATCTGGATCGCTTTGATCCAAAAAACCTGGATTAAACTGATCCCATCAGAAGGGTGGATTTAGCATGGATTTCATGCCCAAAATGTAATGAAAACTTAAAAAATGTATTAAGTAATATTATTTTTGGATCATACAATATCTTACGAGATATACAGTTTATTCATAAGGTTTTCGTTTTATTTGTTCATCTGTCAGGCTATAGTGATTATTGGCTTTAACGTATTCAGCCTTTCAGTATAGGCCTACAGCAAAGTAGAAAGAGTTTGGCCCCATAAAATAATCCCCCAAACAGCTGTCAAAACTGACCAAAAACAATCAATTTTATTCTTTCACTAATTGATATATATATTCATCACAATGGAAAATATTTTTCTTTTTAGAATATTTATTAGTGATGCATGCAATGAATACAGAATTAAAAAAAATGCAAAGAATGGCAATCAATGATTTTTGAAATCACTTTCAACAATTGCAAAAAGAGACTGAAAGGGCAGAAGCACAGCTTCATCTGGCAGAGAAACAACTGACTCTGACCAAACTGCAGCAAACCAAGACCAGACTTGAGATCCACCTCCTAAAGGCTACAATCAGACAAGCTGGTCTCTCCACATCAGTCGAGGAAGTCTGAAATTATTGTGGAGTTTTTTACATTAACTCTTTTTTTTTATTCATTACATCTATATTTGAAACTTATTAAAAATATCCTCAATGTAGTGTTGTAGGTCTCAAATGAGCAGACTGCTTAAAGAGGATGGGGTATTGTTTTTCTTGTTTTTATTATTATTTATTATTATTTTAATAATTATCAAATTTTCTTAGTTTTCATTTCAAATAAAAATAAAGTTATATTGACCCCATGCTATTCTACTCTTTACATATCTATAGTTCTACATTGTGATGTCCTATGCTGTTTGAGCACTGGTTATCCAGATTTAGTGATCCTGAAAAGTTCCTATCCAGATCAGATTGATCCAATCCAATGTTGCTTTGAAAAACTGGCTCAAAAAGTAAGCTGGATTACGTGATCATGCATCGCAAAAACAGGATTACTAAATCCGGTTCAATTTTATCCGGATTAAACCTTTTGAAAAACCGGGCCCTGGACTCAGGTTTTAAGTTATTTAAATATGCAGATGATATGGCACTTGTTGGACGGTTGACTAAAATAGGAACAGAAGGAGATACCTCGTACTATAATTATATACATATGCTCCAAAACTGGTGTAAAAAGAGTTCACTGGAGATCAATTTTAATAAAATCCAAGGAGATGATAATTAGCAGAAATGAAAAAGTGCTTAGTCAAGGGTCGAAACCGCTGGTCCTTGAGGGACATGAAATAGAGACAGTTGACTGTTTTAAATATTTAGGAACACTTATTGATAGTGGACTAACATTTGCTGCAAATGCAGAGTGCATTTTGAAAAAAGCAATGCAGAGATTATACCTCATTAGGAGGTTACAACAATTTGGTGTGAGTCAAGATGTCCTTGAGATGGTATACAGGAACTTGGTTGAAAGTGTTGTGAGTTTTAACATGATAGCATGGTATGGACTGTTGCCAATGAAGGAAGAGCAAAAACTGTGTCGAGTAGTAAAAATTGGCAGTACAATTGTAGGTAAAGCGCAAAAACAACCAAATGAAATTTATTCAATGAGAATTAGACAGAAAGCACACATCATTGTTGAAGATTGTTCCCATCCCTTAAATATCCAACTTCAGCTCTTGCCATCAAAAAGACGTTTTAGGCAACCTCAAGTAAAGAAAAATGTGTATCAAATGTCCTTTGTGCCAAGTGCGATTAGAATTTTAAATACTGGGTTTTAATTATGTGTAGGGTTTTAAATAGTGTTTTTTAATGTGATATGTGTGACGACGTTGAATGTATTTGTGTTGAATGTTTTTTCTGTGATGTGTGTAATGTAAACGCTGATGTGGTTGTGTGGTGAAGCCAAAGATAAATTTCCACTTGTGGACAATAAAGAAAGTAAAGTAAATATGTAATTCCTGTTTTCTTTTTGTGATAATTTCAAACATTATTGACATAAAGAAAACATGAAAATGGTCATCTTCAAAAAAACATTTAAACAAAATAAACTGGACTTTTAAAAACATAAAGACATTTTGAATTGTAATAATATTTCACAATATTGATGGTTTTGATTAAACAAAACACTCCAGCTCAAAGACAATTCTCTATTTTTATACGTTTACACGATAAAGAGCTATTTAAATAAGCAAACATGTTGAAATTGTAGGAAATGTATCTCAAAATAACGCGAGACAAATTATTGCATTTACAAAAATCTTTTATTTGGAGTAGAAAAATCATCTGCTTTCATATTTAGCAAACATTCAACCAAAAATACACACGAGTCAACTCATCGAGTCAAAAACATCAATTTCTGCTTGATAAAAACGCAGCAAGTGTTAATAAGAGTCCAGCAGATGGCAGCATCAGCGCCTCTTACAGGCGAAACTGATGGTGTCTTTGGGTCTGTAAGTGAAGCAGGAGCTGGATTGGCTTTTGGCTGGTCCTGTTTTTCTCCTCCGAGATGAACTCTTGCGGGCCGATGGCTCCTGCTTCGGGACATGAATGGGTTTCCAGGGAATGGGGTTGACGAAACTCGGAGACGGATAATTCACATTGTTATAGCTCCCTGGAAGTGATCAGGAAAAATCATGTTTGGTTTAGTGTTGCATTGTTCGTCACAATCTACAGTGTGGGGATTTGTGTTGGATTTATTACTGTCCAGAGGTTTATTTCTGGACTGTGAATAAAATAAGGTCAACTCTGAAAACTGGACTGACACACTGTTAAGCTGCTTTGAGGCAATCTAGTAAAAGTGGTATAGAAATAAGGATTGAATCATGATTTCTACATGTACACTCTGACCATTTTCCTTAAAATGCGACAGAATCTGAGTAAAAACATATTTGTTTTGAATATCTTGTGATTCTTTCATCTTTATGCTTGTATATCTGAGAAAACTAACCTGATTTTTAATTTATATACTTAGAAAAAAATAAATAAAGGTAAAAAAAATAGGAGATAAATATGAGGATTCAAATGTTTAAAAGTTTATATGATTATATATATATATATATATATATATATATGTATATATATATATATATATATATATATATATATATATATATATATATATATATATATATATATATATATATGTATGTATATATAATTGTGACTTTTTCTAGCGATTCAGAAAAAAAAATTAATTACAGGAAATAGATTGTGAAGGAAAAACAAGCAAGAAATGAGGAATAAACTCTACTGCCAAGGAAAATTTACGTAAATATTTATCTTGTAATTGTTACAGAATTATACAATATAAAGTCACAACAGCAAGAGAAATGTTAAACTTGTTTACTTCATTAAATAAAAATGTAAAACGGTCTTTGAGACTTTCATACATCTCAAAATGTAAAGTTTAACCTTCCTAGTTAGGATGTTTTGTGTGATATAAATCTACTTGAAATTCAAAAAACAAAACTTCAATTTTGCTAACGTGATTAAATAAGGATCCTTTTTAAAATATGAGATCTCAATTAAATATTTTATTCTTGTAACTCATAATTGCAGGGAAAAGTTATATATACAGTTAAAGTCAAAATTATTATACAGTGTATTTTTCCCCCCAATTTCTGTTTAACACAGAGAAGATTTTGTTCAGTACATTTCTAATCATAATAGTTTTAATAACTCATCTCTAATAACTGATTTATTTTTTATCTTTGCCATGATAACAGTAAATAATATTTGACTAGATATTTTTCAAGACACTTCTATACAGCTTAAAGTGACATTTAAACTTCTTAACTAGGTTAATTAGGTGAACTAGGCAGGTTAGGGTAATTAGGCAAGTTATTATATAACGATGGTTTGTTCTGTCGACTATCGAAAAAATTAGCTTAAAGGGGCTAATAATATTGACCTTAAAATAGTGTTTTAAAAAATTTAAAACTGCTTTTATTCTAGTCAAAATAAAACAAATAAGACTTTCTCCAGAAGAAAAAATATTATCAGACATACTGTGAAAATTTCCTTGCTCTGTTAAACATCATTTAGGAAATATTTAAAAAAAGAAATAAAATTCAAAGCGGGATGAATAATTCTGACTTTAACTGTGTGTGTGTGTGTGTGTGTGTGTGTGTGTGTGTGTGTATATGTATATATGTGTATATATATATATATATATATATATATATATATATATATATATATATATATATATATATATATATATATATATATATATATATATATATAAATATATATATATATATATAATAAATTACAAACTACAAAATGTTTTTTTTTACATTTCTTTGCTTCTCTTGATTTTTCCTTTTTAAATTTGTATTTAATATTTTTCTATAACATATAAATTTGGCTGTACTAGTTTTTGGAGCGTTATCGTAAGTTATTTTGTTAGATCAGCTCCAGATTTGGATTCAGTACCGACTAATCTAATGTATATGCACAAATCCAATATTGTACAGCTTCCTATTAAAAATATGAATTTAAAAGAGAGATTTATGTGGGGTGTTCCAATATAACAACAGCACAGATAACTAACATTAGACAGACTGAATTAAAATACTGAGTTGAATATGAATTAAAATATTATGTGTGTATTTGTGCTCTCAGCATAAATGAGTACACCCCCTGTGAAAAGTAACATATTAAACAATATCTCAATGTAAACAATTTCCAAAATGTTGACAAGACTAAGTTTACTTTATCTGATATCTAAAATATCCCTTATACTTTTTGTAAAAAAAAAAAAAAAAACTTGACTTCTATTTTATTTTTTAGCTTTACTCAAATTAGAGCGCTACAAAAATGAGTATACTCCACAACAAAAACTACTTTATCTAGTTAGTATGGCCTCCACGATTTGTAATGACAGCATTAAAATTGTGTCAGAATTCAATCATTTTGGACAAAGTGGCTTTTTACATAAAAGCTTTATTAGTCTTTCTTTAACAGACAACACTGGAAAAATACTATACTCCTATAACACAATACTGCAACAAAAAGTGCTGTCAATCTGTTATCAACATATTTTTAATGTCATGTTAATTTAATTAAACATGCCAGTTTTAATTTATATTAAAACTGGCATGTTAATATGTTTATATTAAGTGCGTAAATTATTAAATTAATTTAATTTAAAGTAATTTCATCTGAAAGTGACAGTTTCAAGAAAACAAATATGGTTAAAGATATAAACAAGTCTGTAAAATTAACTATTAAAAGTGCTGATGATGTTGTATTGTCATCTTTCAGGTTGTATCTCAGCTTTAAATGCGCTTTTTAAATAAATAAATAAAAAAACAAAGCATCTGCTTGCCATCGCAGGAGCAATAAGATCCAATGGACGGCCGATCGCTGTCACTCCAAAATGGCGGGGCTGTTGCAATGGAACGTTCTATTGAGCGTCGCCTCTTGATGATTCTAAGCTCTTTGATGACAATCATGTTTATGACAGATTTATGACAGGTTTTGTTGTCTTGGTAATGTCAAGTTGTCATGTCATAGTCAAAAACAGCTTGTGGTGTATTTGTTTATGTCAAGTTGTCATAACAAACAATGTCATCTTTGCATTTAAAATGTCATAACTGAGAGAATGACACTTAGGGCCCTATCATACACCCGGCGCAGTGTGGCGCAAGGCGTGGCGCAGTAGTCTTTTGGTATTTTAAGCTTGGCGCAAGAGTCGTTTTGAGGCGTTGCGCTACGCTGTTTAAATAGCAAATGCATTAGCGCACATTTCTGCGCCCATAGGCGTTCTGGTCTAAAAAGGAAGGCGTTCTGAGGCGGACCGCTGGCGCGTTGCTATTTTGAGAATCTATAATAGATTTTTCATTAGACCAAAACTAACCCGGTCTAAACTCCAGCGCAGAGTTGCGCCTCGCTTACACACTGCTTAATACACACAAGAGAGCAATAGGCAAATATCTTTACATATGAACAAATGTAAATATTAAGGATATATATAGGATATAATAAGAATAGATATAGAATATAAATATAAAGGATTAAAATATTACAAAACACATTATTTTCTAGCCTACATAAATATGAAAAATCACTGCTTTTATGTCTTCATCATCTCGGGAGGCTTTTTCAGTTCATTCATAACAATTTGCTTTTGTATAATGTTATTATTATTAGCAGTATTATTTATTATATCCATATTTATATTTGTTTTATTAAAAACAAGCTTAGATTTGCCCACCTGTCAGGTTTTAGACCATATGGGGCACAGCATGTGTTTTAGGATATAACTCAGGTTTTTGAGCTCATTTTGTTATTATTATTCATTTATTTATTTGCTGGAAATTAGAACTGAATTTAGAAATAGTTTTGAAACGAATATTTGCGCTTAACAAACAAAAGTATTTATTTATAGACTAATAGATGTCTGTGTGTAAAGGTTTCCCTCTCCAAGAGCGAAAGTGAAAGTGATCCATTATCTCTCATTCTCACGCAGTAGATGCTCTGTTTAACTGTTTTCTGTTAAAAAGCTGTGAACTGTTTGCTTGTGAAATGCTCATTTTTTCCACTTAGACTTACTCTGCGTCCTGTAAATAGCGAATGCACTCTTGGCGCGACGCAGCTGGCTCTTAAAGGGAATGGGAGATGAGACTCTGGTTTATTCTCAAAACACACCTATAACTCATTAAGAAAATAAACTCAACCCTTTTAGACCATGCGCCGAAGCGCAAGGCAGATTTCCCGTCCTTAAATTAGCAAAAACGCGTCCTGACACGCCCTGAAAGCGTTTGCGCCCTGCGCTTTGCGCATGGACCGTTAAAATAGAGCCCTTAATGACAGTCTTATGAACACTCCCCTTCAAGTAAAGTGTTACCAAAACTGGTTTCAATGACTATTTTGCACATTCGTGACTTTCTGAAGCAGACGTATTAGTTGCTCACTCACCGGCTGAGCATGCTGAAGACTGTCGGCTCACTTTCTGTTTGCTTTTCACCCCATCAAGCCATTCTTTAAAGCTTTCCTCCGCCTTTTCTTTCCGCTCCCGCTCTTCCGCTAGTCTTCTCTCTGCTTCTTCCTTTAAAAGACAATCATATGAGTTAAAACGCTAAGTTCTGTCATCATTTACAGACTCATAACGTTCAGAGCTTCACCTTCTCTCTCAGCTTTCTCTCAGCTTCCTCCTGCTTCTTCTTCCGCAGCCACTCTTTATATTTCTCCTGAGCTCTTCTCTCGATCTCCCCTCGCTTTTGCTCTTCTTTAAGCTGTTTCTCGCTCTTCTGAGACTCTCTGGACTGCTTGTCTTTCTTTTCCTGAGGATGGAAACAAATGAAAGTGCAGAATTGATGCTATATTTCAAGCATTTGCATTTGTTTTTCTTAATCTAGAATGACATTAGATTGTGTAATTCACAGTAAATTTGTCATCAATTAATCATAGTTTAAATTGAAGACACACAATGTACCTGTAATTCTAGAACACTGCATGTATGCAAGCTGAAATAAAAGCTGTATGCAATAAATTGTCATCTAATGGTGTTGACAGAAATCGTCACCTGTTCTCGTTTCATTTGCAGCCACTCTTGAATTTTGCAATCACTGGCGACTTTCTTCTTCTGCTCTTCTTTTTCCTTCTCCTTCTCTTTATCCTTCAGCGTGAGCTCCTGAAATACAGACCTTGATTAAAGGTGCAGTATGGCAGTTTGACACCCAGTGGTTGAACTAGGTATTGCATTCCTAGATCAAAACACACAGAAGAGCAGGTTGCCTGATTAAAGACCAACAGAAGTGTGTCTGACTATCAAGCCTAAAGGCTGATTTAAATTGTGCTGAAATATAATTGGCTAAAGTGGCAGTGGGCGGGTTAAAAGAACCAAAACGAAGACATTTTTAAAGCAGAATATCTGACTTTATTATTGTTTTTCAGATAAACAAGAATGTTCACTCAGCATGTTTCTTAAATATCTGCAAACATATTATGGTACTTTTTGAGTCAAAAACTTACATACAGCATATTTAAAGCTCATTTTGCAAGGGTTTCTAATTATATAAAACTGTACTTATGACTACTAAAAAAAACTATTAATTAAAACATGTAATTTTCAGACTAAATAATTAAAACTAAAACAAAACACTACAAAAATATTAGTAATTAAAGGTGTATAATTTTACATGATTAAAACAAAACCTATTTACTAACCTATTTAACAAGTATTTCATCATACCATTTAAAAAGCTAAAATAAAAATACAAGTATAATGATATTATTAGGTAATTATATGACTAATAATTAGATATCACTAAGATTTATAAATACACCAGCATATTTACACACATCAGATTATATACTGTAACTATGCTAGAAACTACTGATTTAAAATGCATATTACAAACTGGACAATACATGCATTACGAGGAAACATACAGCTTAATAATAATAAGAAGAAGAAGATGAATGATAATAATAATAATAAGCCAAATAATAATAATAGTAATATTAAATAATAATAATAATAACAAATAATAATAATAATAATAATAAACAAAATAATAATAATAGATAAATAATAAAAAAATAATAATAACAATAAATAATAATAATAAGAACAACAAAAATATTAATAATAAATATTAATAACAATAAAAATAATAATGATAATAATAACAATAACAATAAATAATAATTTATTTAAACAATAAATAATAATAATAAATAATAATCATAATAAATAATAATCATAATAATATAAATTATTATTATTATTATTATTAATAAAAATAAAAATAATAGATAATAAATAATAATCATAAATAATAATCATAAATATTAATAATAATAAATAATATTAATAAATAACACTAATATCAACTATTAATAAACTAATAATAATAAATATTATTAATCATAATAAATATTACTAAATAATAATAATAAATAGTATTAATAAATAATAATCATAATAATATAGATTATTATTATTAATAATAATAATAATAATAGATAATAAATAATAATCATTCATAATAATAATAAATATTAATAATAATAAATAATATTAGTAAATAACAATAATATCAACTATTAATAAATTAATAATAATAATAATACATATTATTTATCATAATAAATATTACTAAATAATAATAATAATAATAATAATAAATAATATTACATATTATTATTATTATTATTATTAACAATAATAATAATCATAGTTATCATAATAATGTTAAATATTAATAAATAATAAAAATAATTTAGGGGGAAATAATATTAGCTTTATATTATTAACTATATTACTATCATAAATTTAACTTTATAAATATTTTAAATAAATAAAAAGGAAATAAATTAAATTAAATGGAGTGATACTGCATACACTCATAAAATAAAAAATAAAAAACACTCCTTAAAGTTAAAGTACAAACATATAACTTATTCCACATCCTCTACATTACCTCCACAGCTTTCTGCTGCTTTCGGACGCGCTCTTCCTTGGCTTTAGCCACAATCCACTGCTCCCAGGCGCTCAGTTTCATCTGACTGGAGGAAAGTCTGTCGTCCAGGCCTGTCGTGTTCACCTCACCCCTAAAACAAAAGTCATTTTAAGACTAATAATGAAAGACATGGTTGTTTACTTCATGGTGATTTGTGTTCCTCCGTTTGTTTTTTTTCTAATAGTCATGCAGTAAATTCAAATGTGCTACCTACTCGAGTAGAAGACTATTTCGAACGCAGCCATTCTCTACTGCTTACTCAGTGCAGAACTCATCAGTGCCCACCTGGATGGAGAAAGCGGCGCTGCGTCTTCATTTAGCGTGATGGTGAGGTTGCGAATAGGCTGAAAGTGATCTTCTGGTTCATCCTCTGAATGATCGAAGCTGTCGTGATAGATGGGAGAGATCAGAGAGGAGGTGGAGCCGCCACTGGATTCCAGACTCCTACTGCGCTGCAGGACGCTGGATCTGCTCTTCAGCGGCGTGGAGGACAGAGTCTTGGAGGTGGAGGACGGGAAAGAGGACATCGTCAGCAAACCTAAGAATAAAGAGGAGTTACTGTGCTGTTAGCATGGTATAAGTACAGCAAAACCATCAAACCAAACCTTCACCACCATTATTAATACTTCAATCGGGCATTCAGGTCTGTTTAGATCTGGATGAGATATATATATATATATATATATATATATATCAGGGTTTAACCAGGGCCAGTGGTTCAGATTTTTACTTGCCCTGTCAAAATTTTCCCTGGTCCCACCAAAAAAACTAAAAAAGTTAATAGCTATTTCTTAGCCACATATTTTAAATAATGCGTCAAAAACAACATCTGTGAATTTAGAAGTTATTGTGTTTAATGTGTTTTAATGTATTAATTAATAATTAATTCAAAGTGTTATGGAAACAAAAAGTGCAGTATGGAAAAGTATTTTATTGCAGTTCTTAATGATTTAACAAAAGGTGGCTGCTTTGCCAAACTGACGACAAACTTTTTTCCAACATGTTGTACCCACATAAATGTTTGCTTCCCAGACATTAGCCTCATAATTTGATGTTGCCGCCATGTTTCTGTCACTTCGCTGCACTGGTTGTTGCCAACTTACAGACAAAAATAGCGTGCTCACAACATCCAATCCGATAAGAGGAACTGAAAAGCAATATGGTGTTTACAACATCACAGAGAAGGGAGCATTTAAAGGCTTAAAAGCACAAACTGTTTCTCAATTCTACAAAATTTGCAAACTGTTGCGGGCAAATTAAACTTTAGTGACATGGCAGCAGTGGCCCAATCGGGCCAGTAACGATCTTGTCTACTGTCCCGAGCGTCTCTCAAGCTGGCCCCGGGCCATCGGGCAGTCCTTATTGTTGAGCCTTGTGTATGTATATATATATATATATATATATATATATAAATCCATATTTTAAAAAATAAACAAATGTATAAGATTTACAAATTATTTCCCCTAACAGCTTTAGATATACATTTTAAAAAGTATTTATAGATGTAATGCTAAAGGTGCTGCATGTATACTCTCGCTAGTTCAAGCCCCAGCTGTGTGTAGTTTGCATGTTCTCTCCGTGCTGGCGTGGGTTTCCTCCGGGTGCTCCGGATTCCCCCACAGTCCAACCACATGCGCTATAGGGAAATTGGGTAAGCTAAATTGGTTGCAGTGTGAGTATGTATGTGTGAATTGAATGTGAGTGTGTATGTGTTTCCCAGTACTGGGTTGCAGCTAAAAGGGCATGTGCTGTATAAAACATATGCTGGATAAGTTGGTAGTTCATTCCCCTGTGGCGACCCCTGACAAATCAATAATAAATTAATATTTAGTGGAGTAATGCTGATTTTCAATAACGGCAAATTACAACATTTGTTATTTTGCCAGAAGAAATCACTAAATGACAATATTTTTATTTGAAAAATAAATGTTCTCAGAACTTTACAGCATAAAAACAAAGATTAATATTTTACTCAAACTCATGTAGCTACCAAACAAATCCAGAGAACCTGAGAATTTTCTGTTTATTTTGGTTCTAATTTTTTCCATATCTTAATTTTTGAGTGTTTGTCTATTCAGTGCAGGCAGATATTCACTTTATTAGGTACACCTGTCCAACTGCTCGTTAACACAAATTTCTAATCAGCCAATCACATTCAATAATATAAAAAGATAAATAAAAAAATATAAAGTATAACTTGTTTTTTATTTGTTTAAAAAACTATTTTTTAAGTATTTCATTTATTACATTTATTCATTAAAATAAATTATAGATTTTATTTTTAGGGTCTAAAAGCAGTTGCAAAGATTTGTTTCCATACGAAATGCTTACTAATTTACATATTAATTTATTTTAAGTTAATTATTGTTAGTAGTAAATAATTGTGTCATTCTTCTAGGTAAAACTGAACTGAATGTGTTAATTAAGTGTAAATGGTAAGACAAAAGTTTAGATGGGTGTCAAAAACGCTTCTGTAAATTAACTAACAAAATTAAATCAAGGTTGAATTTTTTTTCTAAAACATATTTAGACATTTCACTATATCACTCACTTTTGGGAGTGAATTGTTCCTGATAAACATATATTTTTATGATTTATAGCTAATAAACAAATATTTATGTTTTATAAAATTTTCAATATAACATTTATGTTGTCTAGACTTTATGTTTTATGACAAAAATATTAAGTAGGTTTCATATCTTCATTCTATTTTTGAGCAATCAAGACTAGAAAAGTTTTAGTTAAAAAATGTTTTTAAAACAGACATTGAACAGTATTTGTGGATGTCACCTCATTTTAATCAACAAAAAAGAGGAAATAATGTACATTTGACATGGTAAAAACAACAACAAATGTTTAAAAATGGGCAATTCTTTTCATATACAATCACTAATAAACAACACTTTTCTTAAAACAGCATTTTGTGCACATATTATAATTGCTTTATGACGTGTAAAACTCATGTTTCTTAGCAAAAAAAAAAACAAAACAAATTAGTTTGTGGACATAGATATACATATAGATGTATATATCTATGGTTTGTGGAGAGTAACAACAAGATACTGTCCAAAAACGATTTAGTAGATTCACAGCACTTTTTGCTTTTGAACTGCAGACATTTATGGTCCACTTAATATTTTCTAGACAGTTCTTCAAGTCACATGTTACAATACTCAAAACTGAGCCTGTAAACAACCTTCAAGAGAATCAAAATTGAAGTAAAGTTAGATTTATTTTCACACATTCAGACTTTCTCCTTGAAAATATAGCTTCAGAAAAGTATTGCACATTTTAAATTGGGAAATCACACTAGCAGCCAATGGCTATCACAGTACAACATTAAAATCGGAAAATCTCATGTAACTTCAAAACAACATCAGCACTATTTAATGACCATGAACAATGCGGTACTGAGAGTCATTGGGTTCTTAATATATGATATCCCCATTTGCTATACTTTTCTGAAACTATATTAGTAAGAGTGAAGTGTGAATGTGCTAATATAAAAGCACATTACCTCAACATCGATATTGAATATTCAAAATAGCGTGGTAAACAATATGGACAGTGTTGCAAGTTGTCACTGAACGAATGTGAGAATATAAAATCAACTCTACCTCAATTTTGACATGGTAAACAATACAGGGAGCGTTAAAATGAATGAGTGTGTGTGAATAAAGCCAACTTAAACGTTACCTTAACAGAACCAAACGGATACTTTTCTGGCAAGTTTCTGTTCAATGCAGCGTTAATTTTAATCATATATTTGCGTTTTGACTTTAAACACATTACTATGCTGCTTAAATCGATATATAATCTTAAAAACATCTGAAGAAACTCACCATCTGATCAGTTTAGTCGCATTATTTCGTTGAATCGCTTTTGTTTTGCTTGATATGCTAGAGCCGCTTCCTCCGTCTAGCCACGCCCATTTCACATTGAGCCCGCCCTCTGGACACGTCAATCAAGGCAACCGTGAATAACGATTGGTTGTGCCGCTGTAACCAAGCACGCTAATAACGAAAGCCAGGTTCATGGCAACATCGCCAGCGTCATAAAGACAGATGCTCCTAAATGTGGTTTTTTTAATAAGACATTTGATAATTCAGAAAACGAAATGGATAGTCATAAGATGACGACGCAGATTTGCCACGATATTTTTAGTCGTGGGCGACACGGTGGCTCAGTAGTTAGCTATGTCAACTCAAAGCGAGGTTGCTAGTTCGACTCGCAGCTGTGTGGAGTTTGCATGTTCTCTCCGTGTTGGCGTCGGTTTCCTCCGGGTGCTCCGGATTCCCCCACAGTCCAAACACATGCGGTTTTGGAGGAATTAAATAAACTAAATTGGCTGTAGTGCATAAGTATGTATGTGTGAACTGAATGTGAGTGTGTGTGGGTGTTTCCCAGTACTGGGTTGCAGCTGGAAGAGCATCTGCTGTATAAAACATATGCTGGATAATTTGGTGATTCATTCCGCTGTGGCAACCTCTGATAAATCAATAATAAATTCATATTTAGGGCAGTGGTGTAGTCTTAAAAAAAGGTGGTGTACTATTACACCCGACCCAAAATTTAAATGAAAGTAGGCAAAAAAATGACGAAAGTCAATGTTTCCTTGATTCAATATATATATATATATATATATATATATATATATATATATATATATATATATATATATATAAATATAATTTTTAAATATTATTTTTTTATGAATTTTTTTTTAACATCAGTACCTGTAACTAATAACTTCCACGAAAGGAAAAACAAATACTATGTCAATGTAAGTTTGCAGGTTTCCAGCTTTCTTTAAAACATTGTCTAAAATAAAATAATATTAAAATAATATTGTACAAAATAATGTATTTTGTGTTTAACAAAAGGAAAAAAAGACAAACCAGTTTGGAACAAGTAGAGGTTGAGTAAATGATGACAATTTTCATTTTTTGGGAAAACTATCCACTTAAAAAGAAAAAAAAAAAAACAATTTTGTTCAATTTAAAGGAAGATGCTAAAAGTCTAATCCTATCCTATTTTTTTTTAAAACCAAACTATTATGAGTCTGTCTTCTGTTGTTGCTATAATATACTAGTAGTTGCCCTTTTAAATCGCATATTGTTATGCGATGTTTGAGTAGTCTTTGCGTCATTATTTTTAGTGTTATACACTGTGTCGTTATACATTATAAGTGTATGTATATATATATATATATATATATTATATCACTGTAGTGGCACAATTAAGACAAACGTGAAATACTGTTTTACAGAGGCGATTTTAAGATTTTCATTTTCAGGATCAGATCCTTTTGGGGTAAACAAAGAAAATGTGTTTTTTATATATATATATATATATATAAAGCTGGAAACCTGTAACCATTGACTTACATTGACATAGTATTTGTATATATATATATATATATATATATATATATATATATATATATATATATATATACCCAAACAGCTTGTGGAAAAAAGTAAGCATACTGAGTATACACGCGTATAGCAAGGACTACACCACTAATTTAGGGAAATAACGCTGATTTTCAATAACGGCAAATTACAACATTTGTTATGTTGACCAATTGTCATTTTCTGCCAGAAGAAATCACTAAATGAGAATCTTTTTATTTGAAATAGATGTTCTCAGACCTTTACTGAATAAAAAAAAAGATTAATATTTTACTCAAACTCATGTAGCTACCTAATAAATCCAGAGAACCTGATAATTTTGTTGAATTTGGTTCTAATTTTTTTTCCATATCTTAATTTTTAAGTGTTTGTCTATTCAGTGCAGGCAGATATTCACTTTATTAGGTACACCTGTCCAACTGCTCGTTAACACAAATTTCTAATCAGCCAATCACATGGCAGCAAGTCAATGCATTTAGGCATGTAGACATGGTCAATACGATCTGCTGCAGTTCATAGCGAACATCAGAATGGGGAAGAAAGGGGATTTGTCTAACATATGTTTTACACAGCGGATCCCCTTCCAGCTGCAACCCAGTACCTGGAAACACCCATAGACACACATACTGTACACTACAGCCAATTTAGTTCATCAATTCCCCTATAGCACATGTGTTTGGACTGTAGGGGACACAGGAGCACCCGGAGGAAACCCACGATAACACGGGGAGAACATGCAAGCTCCACACAGAAATGCCAACTGACCTATTCGGGACTCAAACCAGCGACCTTCTTACTGTGAGGCAACAGTGCTAACCATTAACCATTAAATTTCACTACAGTGTTTATATTAACTCCCAAATTGTTTTAATATTCATAGTAATATATGGTGTTTATTCTGATAATGCTGAACACAGATGTGGAGCACAGCTCAGATTTAAGCCTCACACCTTTATATAACAACAATCTAATTGTTCCTAGAAGGTCAAACTCTGACACTCTCCAATTATAAAATGCATTAAATCTTAATAATCTCAGCGTAATCAGCTCATATTTGTCGTCAAAACGGGATTAACCAGCATTTATAGCTTAAATCTGTCAAAGGTGTTTATCCATTAACTTAATTATATTTGCATTTTACCTTCATTTAGCATCTTCGGAATCTGGGTTACTTTGTACAGGCATTATATCATTACATTGTACCTTTTCTATTATTAAAAAAATCTAAATTATACATTTAGATTTCTGATGGCCTAAAGAAGGTTTCATTATTTATTTATTTTAATGTTTTTTTCTTTCAAGGTTTTTCTCTCACTAATTATATTTAGAAGTCTCAGCTCCTCAATGGTTTTTTATTTTAAAAATAAAAATAATTTGAGGCAGCATTTTGTCAGTAATGACTTGAATTTTAATTATTCAATTATCTTTAGGTATCTGATGGCCAGTAAGTGTGCGTGTGTGTGTTAACTTTTTTTTTTGAGCATGGGGTCAAAGCCACAGCCTACCTGAGTATTGTTGCTGACCATGTCCATCCCTTAATGCCCACAGTGTACACATCTTCTGATGGCTACTTCCAGCAGGATAGCACACAATGTCATAAAGCTCAATCATCTCAAGCTGGTTTCTTGAACATGACACTGAGTTCACTGTACTCAAATGGCCACCACAGTCACCAGATCTCAATCCAATAGAGCACCTTTGTGATGTGGTGAAAGGGCAGATTGGCATCATGGATGCGCAGCTGACGAATCTGCATATGCATAATATGGAGCAAAATCTCTGAGGAATATTTCCAGTACCATGTTGAATCTACGCCACGAAGGATTAAGGCAGTTCTGAAGGCAAAAGTGGGTCCAATCTGGTATTAATGTAATGTATAATGTATTCATTGATGTATTCATATACATATGTATATATATGTATGTATATATATATATATACATATATATATATATACATACATATATACACACACATATATATATACATACATACATACATACATATATACATATACATACACACACACACACACATACACACACACACACACACACACACACATATATATATATATATATATATATATATATATATATATATATATATATATATAACAATTTTATACAATTTTCTTTAGAATTTTGATGACCATTAGCTTTAATGTGCACATTATTAAATTACAATCAGTAATTTAACATATAGCTCCTGTGATTATACAATATAGAGTAAAATATATATTAAAAAGTCCTGAATGATATCCATATTCATACACCCCTGTGCCCCTATGTTGCCCCAAACAAAGCTATTTAAAGACATACACAGGTTAAATAACAGATATTAACAGTAGGTGTCATAAATCTTCGTACGACGACGTGTGAAATTATACAAACATCTCATTGGATATTTAAGCGCTTGCGTCGCGTTCCAATGCGTCGCGTTCCTCCTGCGCAAATCCCGGGATGCTGGTTGCCATGGTTTCCCGCATCGCATGCGCGGCTCTGATGTAGCCAGCAGCAGCAGCAGCAGCGCAGGACAGAAAAAAAAAACAAAAGATGCCAGCAGCTCTTGAATTCCCTGCCATTTTTACGCCCGCGAATTAGAGGACGCGGTCGGGGAACAGACGCAGATGGTGGAATAGCGAGAAAATCCGTCGCGTTCCCTCTGACGCGTGCGCGGGTCATTCCTTCTCAGCTGACGCGGCGATTAAAAAAAAAAACGGACTGTTGTAACGCGCGAGAGATCGGGCCGAATTTTTGCGCACATTTCACCGTCAGGAAATGAGTATAGAAATCCCCGAGGGCTTGACGGAGCTTCTGCAGAGCTTTACCGTGGAGGTCCTGAGGAACCAGCCGGCGGATCTGCTGGAGTTCGCCCTGCAGTACTTCACGCGTCTCAAGGAGAACGAGACCCGCGGCGGCGCGTTCGGCAATGAGCGCAACCCGGCCACGCGCGCGGGGAAAGCGGTCAACTTCATCGAGGAGGCCATGCAGATCGACTCGGAGAACGGAGAGGAGGAGGACGACGATGAAGAGTTCGTAGGTAATGCGTTCGCGAGCGCGCGCGCTGTTATACACCTCCATTTATAGCGCGTTTCAGCATCAGCATTCACTGCCTAACACATTCAGATCTTTTGTTCAGAGCAATGCAACATCACACACACATGCATGATGATGAAGAGCTTCTTTAATTTACAAAATGTGCGTGCAGACAAAACAACTAGCATTTATGTTGCATTTTAATGTTGAAGATCATCACTATAGGCCCTGTTTGTGCATTAGGAGAAATGCAACATCACACACACACATGTATGAAAACTACATGCTTTTTCATTTAAAAATGAGTGGTCAGACATATAACGGCATTTATATTGTATTTTTGCGTTGTAGATCATCATAAAAGCACACTATATAGGCCCTGTGTGTGCATTTGGTGAAATGCAACATCAAAATGCTCTTTTAATTTACAAAATCAGACAAAAAAAGGCTTTTATGTTGTATTTTAGTGTTGTGGATCATCATAAATGCACACTATAGGCCCTGTTTGTGCATTATGAGACATGCAACATCACACACACACAAACATGCATGAAAACGAAGGGCTTTCATTTATAAAATGAGTGGTCGGACAAAAAAAATGGCATTCATATTGTATTTTAGAGTTGTGGATAATCACAATATAGGCCCTTTGTGTAAAACACTGGCCTTTAATCTAAATTTACACACTTGCATGATAACAAAATGCTTTTTTTTACTTTACAAAATGAGCGGTCGGACAAAAAACAGGCATTTATATTGCATTTTAGTGTTGTAAATCATCATAAAAGCACACCATATAGGCCCTGTGTGTGCATTAGGTGAAATGCAACATCACACACACACATGCATGACAACGAAATGCTCTTAATTTACAAAAAACAAAACAGTCAGACAAAAGAAGGTTTTTATGTTGTAGTTTAGTGTTGTGGATCATCATAAATGCACACTATAGGCCTTGTGTGTGCATTATGAGAAATGCAACATCGCGCACACACACACACATGCATGCATGAAAACGAAGGGCTTTCATTTACAAAATAGTGGTTGGAAAAAAAAAATGGCATTCATATTGTATTTTAGAGTGGTAGATCATCACACTATAGGCCCTGTGTGTAAAACACTGGCCTTTAATCTAAATTTACACACTTGCATGATAACAAAATGCTTTTTTTTACTTTATAAAATGAGCGGTCGGACAAAAAACAGGCATTTATATTGCATTTTTGCGTTGTAAATCATCATAAAAGCACACTATATAGGCCCTGTGTGTGCATTAGGTGAAATGCAACATCACACACACACATGCACGACAACGAAATGCTCTTTTAATGTACAAAATAAGCAGTCAGACAAAAAAAAAAAGGTTTTTATGTTGTGGATCATCATAAATGCACACTATATAGGCCTTGTGTGCATTATGAGAAATGCAACATCACACACACACACACACACACATGCATGAAAACAAAGGGCTTTAATTTATAAAATGAGTGGTCGGACAAAAAATGGCAATTATGTAGTATACTATAGGCCCTGACTGTGTGTTAGAATAAAACACTGGCCTTTTATGCATATTTACACACTTGCATGATAACAAAATACTTTTTTTTACTTTACAAAATGAGAAAAACAGGCATTTATATTGTATTTTAGTGTTGTGGATCATCACTCTATAGGCTCTGTGTGTGCATTAGGAGAAATGCAACATCACACACACACATGCATGAAAACTACATGCTCTTTTAATGAAATAATGGGCAGTCAGACATAAAAAATTCCATTTATATAGTGTTTTAGTGTTGTTGATCTTCACACTACAGGCCCTGTGTGTGTGTTAGAATAAAACACCGGCCTTTAATGCAAAAAATAACACACTTGCATGATAACAAAGGGTTTTATAATTTACAAAATGAGCGGTCGGCCAAAAAAAGCCATTTATATTGTATTTTAGTGGTGTGGATCATCATAAAAGCACGTTATATAGGCCCTGTGTGTGCATTAGGTGAAATGCAACATCACACACACATGCATGATAACAAAATGCTCTTTTAAATATTCGAAATGAGCAGTCAGACAAAATAAAAACTAGCATTTATGTTGTATTTTAGTGGTGTGGATCATCACACTTTACAGGCCTGTAGCCAAGAGGGGTTTGGGTGGTTTAAAAGACCCACCTCGCACTGATAAAAGGTCCAGAATGTGATTCATACTTGAGCTTATTTGTCCCATTTTGCCTGCTGTGCCATCTTAAATTGTTGAAATAACCCATCAAAGAAGGCTTCCCGTGAATGCAAACAATTATTTTTCATGAGCTGTGCAAGAAAACATACAATCTAACGCAAGTAAAGTCATCTTTCACTACAAGTAACTTTTATTTTGAATTTTGAGCCTTTTCTTGAAAGAAAAAAATGGCAATAAAAAAGTTTGAAGCAAAAGCGGCTCATATTAAAGGTCATTTTAAAACTAATTAGGCTATTTTTGTTGTTCATGAATTTTTAAAAATTGTTTTTTTTTACAAAGAGACTAGAAAATTCGTGAAGCTCTACAATATTATCATTATTATGCTTTCATAGTTTTATTATTCACATGGCCAAATTCTGGCTGTCCAGTTTGTTGCCCTTTAATCTTTTTTCCCTTTTCTCTTTTTTCATACTCCCTTTTTTTTAATGATAAATGATGTAATACATTTGTATTTAAAATTTACATTATTATATTTTATATTATACTTCTTTATTCTAAATATTTAGAAAATGTTTTAGGGACTGCAAAAAGTGTGGTTATGATGACCACCCGACAAAATGTGACTAAAATGCAATATTTAAACCTCATGATTAAATAGAAAATGAGGCGAATAATGCAGAAAGATCCACTTTTTCAGAAAAAAAGAAGCACACATTTCACCAGCATGATAAGAAAGTGCTTTTTTTATTTACAAAATGAGCAGTCGGACCAAAAAACTGCCATTTATATTGTATTTTAGTGTTGTGGATCATCACTCTATAGGCTCTGTGTGTGCATTAGGAGAAATGCAACATCAGACACACACATGCATGAAAACTACATGCTTTTTTCATTGACAAAATGAGCAGTCAGACAACAAAATTCTAATTCTAATGTATGCAAACAATTATTTTTCATGAGCTGTGCAAGAAAATATACAATCTAACGTAAGTGAAGTCTTGTTTCACTACAAGTAACTTTTATTTTGAAATTTGACCCTTGACCCTTCTTCTTGAAAGAAAAAAATGACAATAAAAAAAGTTTGAAGCAAAAGCAGCCTGTATTAAAAGTAATTTTAATACTAATTAGGCTATTTTTGTTGTTCATGAACTTTCAAAAATAATTTTTTTACAAAGAGAGTAGAAAAATCGTGAAGCTCTACAATCTTAACATTATCATGTTGTCATTTTTATATTATTCACATGGACAAATTCTGACTGTCCAGTTTGTTATCTGCCCAATAAATGACAATAGGCTTCTTTATTTATTTCAAACTTTAACAGACTCCCCTTTTGTTAATGATAAACAATTTAATAAGTGTATCAAAGAATTATATTTACTAAATTTTGATTATATTTCTTTATTCTAAATATTTAGAAAATGTTTCGGTACCTTAAAAAGTGTGGTTATGATGACCACAAGACAGGCTAGTCCTGCTAAACAATAGAGCTTAAAATGTGACTAAAATGCAATATTTAAACCTCATAATTAAACAGAAAATGAGGTGAATAACTGCAGAAAGGTCCAGGTTTTGAGAAAAAAGAACCACACGTTTCACCAGGCTGGCTACGGGTCTGCTATAGGCCGTGAGTGTGCATTATAGGATAAAACATTGGCCATTATTTTATTTTTTTTTATGGAAATGTATTGTTTTTTTGCAAGTGAATTC